TGACTTCTGCAATTACAAGAGGTATTCAAAGTGGTTACCATCCGCATAATTTTAATACCGTTTTTACAAAGGGTAATTTCTGCTTGGTTTTCAGAGTTTTTCCCATGTCTGCTGTTTCTTAAAATTAATCAGCCTAAAACAGCCAGTATTTCCAAAGAGGCATATTGTGTGGTGGCAAACTCTACTCCCCTTTGCAGGTATCTCGTATGCTTATGCTAAGAGATAGTATCATTCTCTTGCTCTGAGCCTCTCTTGAAGTATTAATAAAATGTTGGATTTCCCTTTTTGCGTAACCCACTTGTTCATCCCTTTACCCTCAGCTATTATTTCTCCTTATCTCCATCTTTTATCTTTATCTTTACCCAGACTTTTCCACCCTAGGAAGCGGCATCAGGTTCACCACCGTGTTGGTCTAGATTGCTGGCAGCAGTACTAGTCTAGCAAGTGCTCTCCGCACTCCACTCCCACTCGTGTAGTGCAGGATTACATGGATGCAAGACTAGTAGGCATTCTTAACCACTAGACAACACCGTATCTACTGTCAGCCCCAACTTTGCCAAATGGGATGAAGGCACAGTCCACCCCATCAGGCCCATAGGAATGCTTACAGATTGAAAGGTACAGTTACAGTTTCTTGCTTAGGAATCATCCCTGCTTCCGGCACCCACAGTTGCAGCCCTGGTCCTGGAACCTGTGGGTCAGGTAGGAAAAAGAAAGTTGAGGTGATGCAGGGAAGAATTGTATAGTTACCAGCATCTATCCCCACCTTCTCTTTCTCAAACCCCCCAGAAAAGCAGAGGAATCTATTCAGTGGGGACCCTCCCTTAACCCCCTCAGGCCTTTATATCCCTCCATTTTAAACTGCAAATGTTTCAGATGCCCATTCCAATTTTCTATTAAACATTACTCTGAGGATGATACACAACATGGTATGTCCGTCTGATGTGGTAGCTCTTGGACCACTGTTTAACACAAGGAGCTATAAAGTTTGTTCCTCGGTCGAAAGAAATGTAACTTGGTGGTCCAAACTGGTACAGCATTTTCTGTTCCAATCCTTTAATACCAGGGGTGCCAAAAACATGTATACCCTTGACTTGGGTTCATTTTTTTGTTATATTACATATATTTGTATATATTATTGTAATATTAATACATTTTTTTTCTTAAAGTGTGTATACTTTTTTTGGCACCCTCTGTATTTTGGAGCATTTGCATCTACTACCAGGTGTGCCAGGCCCAGTCTGAAGTATGTGTGTCTTTCCATTAGAATCCATTAATGTCCCCCAGGGCTCCCAGCATCAGTCTGACTTGCCGGCTGTGCTTAGGGTCTTTGCACCAGGCAATCTGCCACGTGACCAGCTGCAGTCTCCGTCTCTTTGCTGGAAGACAGAGCAGTTCTGGTTGGCGTCTTATGCCTCAGAGGGTGCAAAAGGACTTTGTCTAGATTCAGCCCGTCTCTGCACTACTGCAGCACCCCCATTTCCACTTATTCCATGGACCCAGGTGTGCACCTCAGGTGAGCACACAGGGCTGTCTGCTTGTTGATTCCAGTCACCTTCCAAGCCTAGAAGGGAGTTCTTCTGATGGGCATCGCGTGTCCTGCTTTATTCACAGCACTCCAATGTCCGTAGTGATTTCCACAGAGCCATGCCCCATAGAGACACCCCTTTAACAGGCCAGGTGTCCATTGCCCTCCAGCCTGACCATATGGCCAAGGCATTGGCCGCTACCTGTGAGTCAGTGAAAAGCTAAACATAGGGGCTCTTACCACTGTTCAGCTCTTCCATCACTGCTGGGCAAACAGCATGCAGCTCAGCCCACTGAGCTGGTTTGTTTTTACCTTCTTCCATCAGGGCGGTGGCTTTCCAAACAGGATGTTGTCCATCACCATGGAACTGCTGTCCACAAACCAAGCAGCAGTTAGTCAGCCAAGGGCCCTTTACAGGGCACTGTCCAAGTGCCAGTAGAACCAGGCAGCTCCTCCTGCACCTCCAAAGTCAGTCCTAGGGAAAAAGAGGCCCCCTGCTTGTGAGGTTCTCCTCCTTGCGTTCCCCAGGCAGCATGATTTCTTTTTATTATGGAACTCTGCTGGGCACTGCCATCCCCAGTAGTGTTACCCTTATGTCACCCAAGGCATTGTAGTTCTTTTTTTTTATTATTATTATGAAATACACATTTTTTAGAATTAGTTTTAGCTGAACAACACAGTGCAATAGTTATACTTTTTACCCCTCGAAGTGACAACCCCCCTCCCCCAATCCACCACCCCATTTCACCCCCAATATCATACATATCTATTACAAATCCCTTGACTCCACTCCCACACTGTACTCCACATCCCATGACTATATAGTTGTAGTTGACAAGGCATTGTAGTTCTGATTTCAAGATCACCTTATGTCTTTCAGTCCTAGAGGTGGCTTCAGTTAATAGCAAGGTAGTAAATGTTCCTCTAAAATGGGAATTCTCAAGTCTGGGACCAGTACTTTACACTAGGAAGCACTCACATAAAGCCCAGTATACACCCCACATAGGACTGTCGCACAGAGAATTTGTCCCTCCCAGCATTCCAGCATCCATCACACACTGTGTGGGCTCAAGGCAGTAGAACTGGTCCCCATTTAGCATGTCCAGTTAATGTTACTTAAAGGGCAGATTTCCGTGCCTTGTGGTTTACAGTATTAGGTAGGGGAAACGTTTCCCAGGCAGATACAGTGTCCATCCCCACAGTACAGTCAGGTAAGGAATGCACCCACTTCACATGAAGCCTGATCAGACATACCATTCGTTGTGCACAACTTGGACCTGAATTCCAGTAGCGCTTCCATTCCTAACTGTAGCGTGCATTAGGACTTCTCAGCAGGTTTCCGTGTTACAGTACCGAGGAGCGGAGTGTTCCTGGCCATGCACAGTTCCCATGAAACCCTCAGGTAAAGGAGACACAGCTTCTGTACAGAATACCTTCTGAAACGCTCCAGCTTTCATAAATCCTAGGAACCAGTACATTTTTACCTTCTCTCAGTCTAATTGTAGCCCAAATCAGCGCTTCACCAGTGGGTTTTGGTACCACAGATCCTGGGACTCCCATTTCAAGGAGTCCTGGAAACTTCTCCACCCCCTGACCATTTTACTCACTCTTGTGCAAAAGGCTTTGGGTCCCCAGCGAGGAGTCAAGCCAAGGGACGCAGGCCCTTTGGTTCAGCTTTACTAGATGAATCGGTCTAACCACTGCCCGCAAGAGTTTGCTGGTCAGGTTTCTCATTGTAATTGCTGCCTTCCAGCTTCAAAAATTGCTCCAAGCAGGAATAGACACAGCAGGCTTGTTTGGGACCATTTAATGTTGGAGGACCAATAGGGGGTAACTTTGACACACCCAAACTGAAGTTTTAACCCATCAATGTCTTTTTTATTTATCCCATTTCTTAATAACCAACTAAAGATTTCCGCCTTTTTCTTATTAGCCTGCATTTGTTTATGTATCAAGTGGACCAACTCCCTAGGAGTTGGATCCATCTCTAAATCCTGTTACTAACTTTTACCTTTAGTAACTGATCTAAGCACATCTGCTGCTCCATACCACCCGTGACCAAGTGGCCACCCAGGAATCAGAGGTTCCTTATCCCTCACCCTGCTTTCCTTTCTCTTCCCAAACCACATGTTCAGTGACCACCAACTTAATAGGATACCTGGAGAGACAGGAGGGGGAGAGGGGAGAATGAGAGGGAGAGGGAGAGGGGAGACGGGGAAAGTGAGAACGAGAAGAGTGGAATGAGAGCAAGAGAAAGGGGAGAGATAGATAGATAGATAGATAGATAGATAGATAGATAGATAGATAGATAGATAGATAGATGGATGGATAGAGGAATGAGAGCAAGAGAAAGGGGAGAGAAAAGAAAAAAAGAAAGAAAGAAAGAAAGGAGAGAGAGGGAGGGAGTGAGGAGAGAGGGGGGAGAGGAGTATGTGAGAGAAGAGACAAAAGGGGGAGGAGAGGGGGAAAGTGAAAGGAGTGGGAGAAAGGTGAGAGGAGTGAGGGACTGAAAGAAGAGTGAGAGTGAAAGGAGTGAGGCAGAGAGAGAAAAGAATAAGACAGAACAGTGAGAGAGAGAAAGACAGGAAGGGGAAGAGAGGAGTGAGACAGAAGAATGAGAATGACAGGAGAGGGGGGAAAGTGAGAGAAAGGAGTGGGAGAGTGAAAAAAGTGAGGCACTGAGAGAAAGGAATAGGAGAGAGAACCATGAGAGAGGGGAGTGAGAACAAGGGAGAGTAAAAGGAGTAGAGAAAGAGGAGGGTTGAGTGGGAGAAAGATAAGAGGGGGGAGTGAGAGAACAAGAGAGTATAAGGAGTGAGAAAAAGGAGAGGGAGTGAGAGAATGATAGCGTGAGAAAGGAAGAGAGAGAGGGGTGTGAGGAGGGAGACAGGAGAGAGAGGAGGGGAGGGAGAGGAGTGAAACAGACAGAATGGGGGACAAAGAGAAAGTGAGAGAGAGAAGAGAGGAGTGAGACAGAAAAGTAAGAGAAAGGAGAGAAGGAAGAGAGGAGTGAGAATGACGGGAGAGAGAGGGAGAGTGAGCAAGACCAGAAGGCAAGGGCTGGGGGGGGGGAGGAGAGATATTAGAGAAAGGAGAGAAATGAGAGGCATGAGAGAGAAAAAGACAGGAGTGAGAGAAAATGAGGTACAGAACAGTGAGAGACAGAAGAGTCAGAGATAGACAGGAGAAGGAATGAGAGGAAGACGGGAGAGGAAGGGAGAGAGAAGAGTGAGAGAAAGAAAAAAGAGTGGAGAGAGAAATTAAAGAAAAAGTGAGAAAGGAGAGGAGAGAGACTGAGGAGAGAGAAGAGAGTGAGTGAGAAAAGGGAGGAGTGAGGTAGAGGATTGAGGAAGAGAAAGAAATGAGAGAGAAGAGTTAGAAATGAGTGAGAGAGGGGAGAGAGAGAGAGAGAGAGAGGAATGAGGGAGAGTAGAGAGAGAAAGAGAGACAGCAGTGAGAGAGGAAAGTGAGAGAGTGTGAGAGGGAGGAGAGAGGAGTGAGGGAGAGGGATTGAGTGAGTGTTGACTTACCTTTGGAGCTTCCGTGGTCTCTCCAGGGCCCCCGCGATCCCAGCACCTTGCATTCACCAACCCAGAGGCTCTTCGAACCCTGTCCTTTTAGGGTTTATGGAGGCTTCATTACCTAGTTGTGATCATTAAACCATTGACCACTGGCACTTGAATCAACCTCCAGCCCCTCTCCCCAGAGGTAGATATTTTGGTACATATGAGAAACATTTTGGGCATCTGAATTACCAAATATATATTTCTCATCACAATATCACAAAAGCTTTCATTTACTCTTAGTTTTGTCTAGTTTGATACGGCAGAACAAGACCTGTGTTAGCACCGTCACTGCACTGGTGACATTCATTGCTGTATAATTACGAGCATGTTTATGCATTTATCTGCCTTATACGTCTTCAGAAGAGAAACAGTGCTTTATGAACCTTAGATACCGCCAGGTATGACAGTGCCAGAGATGCAGGGGAATCTGCATTCATGCCTTAACCCCTGTAAAAAATACTTTTTGGAGACATGACAACATAGCGAAGGTGTATGTACAGCTGGTGCCATATGTAAATGTCCACGGTGAGTGACTCTTACAACAATATTGTAAGTTTCCATGTATCCTTTGTACATCACCAAGTGCTCGTCATTCAGAATGAATAGCAATATGCCATTTCAGGGGTCAGTCTCATTCACGGATGTGACTGTGGACTTCACCCAGGAGGAGTGGGAGCAGCTGGACCCATCTCAGAGGATCCTGTACATGGACGTGATGCTGGAGAATTACAGCAATTTACTCTCCGTGGGTAAGGACAGCTTTCAGGAGGGACTCTGTTTACCTAGCAGCATTTATGTCATTTCTCAGTAACCAGAGCTTACGAGCTTCTAAATGACTAAATGGCTTTGGCCTCAGGCCTTAGGTGTTCAAGGTGATGGTGCAGACTCTAAAGTGCTGCCTACTTTATTTTCAGGGTCTCTGAATTGGAGCAGTTAGGAGCTACCATCCATTAGCAAGTTCTCTGACTCTGTCAAACCAGATGTGATTTTCAAGTTGGAGCCACAAGGATTGTAGCTAGCCAAGTTAGACTTGCCAGTTGAGAACTTTCTAGGGAAGCTGTGGAAGGAGAGATGGAGAAGCAGAAGCCACTCGAAGTGAAGTACTATCCCAAGGATTATGAATGGGTCGGTACCTTTGACCTTTTTTAGGAATCTGTGTTTCCAATCTCTAAGCCTTTAGAGATGGCGGAGAACAGATGGCCTGTACCCCTCAGCCTCAGCACTCTGAGTCACCCCTCCAGACATCCTTCTCCCTACTCAGCTTTTTCCTCTTACAGATATTTGCCGCTCACACTTGAGCCCTGGTACTTGCCTAACATGTCTTGAGCCTTTGTTCTGTGGTTACTTGCTCTTGAATTAGTATTTTCAGTTTGCCAGAATGGTGACCTGTATAGTTTAGCTCATGGAAATTGATGTAGTGCCCCCAAGGGGAATACATATTTTTCAGTACAGAAGTGACATCGTTGTCCTGGACGCAAACGGCCGCAGGATCACAAGAATCAGGGACCAGTAATGCACAGATGAAAGTAAAGGTTATCAAAGGCCTAGGTCGAGGCTGGGTAACTCGATCCTCAAAATCCCTTCAAATCAAAGCAGGGACAAGACTGATTTGGGGAAGAACGTAAACATTAAAAGGAGAAAAATAAAATTGAATGATGAAAATACATTCTGTCTCCAACAACTTCAACAGAAAAAAAGCAATGAAACCAGCCGTAGCAGCGAATCTCTCAAAAGGATCTTGGATCCTTGGATCTATTTTATATTTCCTGTATGAGTTTCTGGGTCTTACCATTCATTTGCACAAGTCTTACTTGGGAGATGTGGAGTGCTGCGGTAGGGTCATCTCTGCAGACCTGTGAGAAATCCTGCCCTAGGAAGTTCCCTGGTACAGATGAGAGAGGGGTCAGAGGGGCTTAGAGCCTAGAAGCGTGTGCAGACCAGTCACGCAGAGTCCCAGCGAGGGCTGCCAACCTCACACCTGCCTGGGTGTTCTTCCATCATCTGCTTTTCTTGGTCTCTGTGCTAACTAACTGTTCAGGGTCCTTGAGGACACTGAGTCTCCTTCATCCATGGACTTGCCTGCCAGCCCTCCCACATCATGTGTTTCCTGTTTGCTGCCCTTTGTTTTTATTTCACTTTACCCGCTTTTTAAGGTCATGTTGTAACCTGGGAATGCTACTTGTGTTCATTGTCAGTTTCCGCTTCCTTTTTTTGCCACAGGCATGTTTTTTTTTTCTTTCAAAGTTTAAGAGCTAGGAAAAATTTTCACTGGAGACTTTAATACTGGAAGACCGGGTCCCAAACTAAAAAGGCAGCCGTACGATGGAAGTTTGCGGATGGAAGTTTGTAACATTCTATAACGTTACAGCGAAAGGGTTGACAAAGTGTATTTCGTGTGCTCTTTCCTAGAGGTGTGGAAGGCTGATGACCAGATGGAGAGGGATCACAGAAACCCAGATGAGCAGGCGAGGCCGTTTGTAATCTTTAAGAACCAAACCCCAGTCGAGGAAAGGGGTGATCTCTTTGGAAAATCATTCAACCTGAGCACAGACTTTGTCTCTTTAAGACAAGTACCTTATAAATATGACTTATATGAAAAAACTTTGAAATATAATTCAGACTTACTTAATAGTAACAGAAGCTATATAAGAAAGCAAGCTGACGAGTATAATGGATTTGGAAAAGCACTTCTCTATCTAAAGCAAGAGAAAACCCATACTGAAGTGGAATACTCTGAATATAACAAAAATGGAAAAGGCTTCAGCCATAAAGAAGCCATTTTTAAACATCAGAAAATTCGAAATCTGGTGCAACCTTTCATTTGCAATTACTGTGACAAGGCTTTCCCCTTTAAGTCACTCCTCATCAGTCATAAGAGAATACATACTGGAGAAAAGCCGTACGAATGTAATGTATGTAAGAAGACCTTCTCCCATAAGGCAAACCTCATTAAACACCAGAGAATTCACACCGGGGAGAAGCCCTTTGAATGCCTTGAATGTGGAAAAGCTTTCACCCACCAGTCCAACCTCATTGTACACCAGAGAGCGCACATGGAAAAGAAGCCCTACGAGTGCAGCGAATGTGGCAAGACATTTGCCCAGAAGTTTGAACTTACTACCCACCAGAGGATTCATACAGGGGAGCGACCCTATGAGTGTAATGAATGTGCAAAAACCTTCTTCAAGAAATCAAACCTCATTATCCATCAGAAAATCCACACAGGGGAGAAGCGCTACGAGTGCAGCGAGTGTGGGAAGTCCTTCATTCAGAACTCACAGCTCATTATACACATGAGAACTCACACAGGGGAGAAGCCCTATGCATGCACGGAATGCGGCAAAACCTTCAGCCAGCGGTCCACCCTGAGGCTACACCTGCGAATCCACACAGGAGAGAAACCGTATGAGTGTTCTCAGTGCGGGAAGGCCTTCAGCAGGAAGTCCCGACTCAGCGTCCATCAAAGAGTGCACATAGGGGACAAACCCTGAGACTGCACCCAGGGCGAACTGTGCAAACCCTCCGACCAGAACCCTTCCAACGGGAGAGAAAACTCATGAAGGTACTGACGGAGCCCGGGAAGTCCTACTGAGGTACAGTCTGTCAACTCAGAAATGTGTAAAAGTGGGTTCCTTAAGAACCATAACAACTGAAAGTCAGCTGTGACACCCAGCTAAAGAATACATATCAGAATATACCCAATTGTAAATAGACATACTTAACTGTATTACAGTGAGCTGTTGGGAATCTCAAAGGAATTATTCAAGCATGAAATATTCTGGGAAGCAGCAGAAAGAACTACAAGACAGTATCTAGGAATACAGTGGCTATGTATGAGATTATGCCACAAAACACAAATTGTATATTTTAGATCTGTATATATGAATTTAACAGTCACTGAAAATTTGAAATTCTTGCCTTCTAACAATTAGGACGCATCAGACGAGATGTTGCACATTAAACATCACATGTGTTTTCTAGAACCTTTACAACTCACTATACATTCCAAATGAAATGTGGGACAGATGTTAGCGTAGCATGTAACATGTTTGCTTCTACTTGCTGGCATCTCTATAAGCTGGTATGACCATTGTTACTGAGCTGCCTCTTCATAAACAGAAGTTTTTACCTGCTTCTGGGTTTGCTGAAGATTTTCTAGAAGCATTATTTACATAAATATGCAAGTGTGAGATAATTAAGAGGAGGTTTAGAGAGTGAAAAGAGGGAGCTGTGTGCTGTATTACTCAGTATGCACCACAGAATAAAAATGGGCTAAAGAGAATACCCACTCCATCATACTCTTGTTATTGATTTTCAGTGGGGTATTTACATACAAATGCATGTCAGTGACCAAAATATTGTATAACTCAGAAACCAGTTATATTTTGTGTGTTTCCCTGTTTCTTTTAATATTATATGAATTGTCTTGTAAAAAAATGGTAGGATATGTCTGTAGTGCACAAATGTTACTTAACATTTCAGAAACTTTAAAGGAAAAATAATTTATTTAAACTGTCAAATATGTTATTGCTTAAAAATTTTTCCATGTGCATAGTCCACTTCAGAAATAAATTTTTGCAGTATTCTGTTTAGGGTAGGCATTTTTACTTCCTTGAGTTTCAGCATCACCAACCTAAAGCGTTTCCCTTTGGAACCTGGCTTAGTATAGTTATACCTTTCCTTTAAAGGTTCACTAACAGTTTTACTAGACTATTCAGTGATTTTTCCATAGATACTGTTTGATGACGAACCTACAAAAATTTATCTTTTTTGCATAACTCAAAGATACACCATTTTAGGCTTGATTTCAGATTCCCAAGTTACACTTGTTCATTTTTGAAGGTCATTAACATGCTGTGACTACATATGAATGTGAGTGACTTTCTGAACAAATTTTCTAGAACATCCATCTTTGTCTAAGTTGTCATCTAGTAACAGCAGGAAGCAGGGGGAAAAGTTAATTACATACTGTGCTATTAGAAATGTAAATTGTGATAGCCACCTTGGAAATCATTGTGACTCTGTCTTTTAACATTAAGAATATACGTACTCTTCAACCCAGCAGTATCAGTCCCAGGAACCTATCCCTAAGAAAATAATAAAGTGCCAGTACTTAAGATTATATTTATCAATGTATATTGTATTTTTTTGTAAGGACAAAATAGGAAACAATGTGAATGATCACCAGATTGAATAAACTGTGTTAAAAACATATCATGGTTGGGTGGTATTCCACAGAAAACAATGTGTAGGAGCAAATGCCTCCAGGTCAGATGAGGACAGCAAGAGGAGAGAGCGAGAGTATATACCCAATTTTGTAAAATAAAGATCTAAGAACCTTATATGTGTGTGTATTTGTATTTGATTTTATGGGCCTGGAGAATAAATAGAATTATTGTAAGTCAAAAATATAATTACCACTAATTTCAGTGGAAAATTTTTCATGCATTCATTAGTTTCTAAATTAGCACTCATTTATACTAAAACAATACCATAACCCATTAAAATGGACGCAGTTTGTTAAATAACATTAGCTAACAAAGCATGAAATAAGACATGCCCTAGCTTTCATGGCTGTATTGTATGTTTGAGCGTGTTCTCAACAAAAGCACATATTTGACAATTGTTCATGTAATGGAAATGAATACAAAAAGGAAAATAGCAAAGATGGAAAAACTAATGAAGAAAAAAAAATCAAAGAATGCCAAGGTTATTACAAATGTAAATTATAAATTACAAATGCTTTGAGAAAACTTAACATATCCACCTTTACACCTGCACAGGTGATCATAGGGATGACTGTCTTTTAATGAGCTGTTTGCTCATTAAGGCCCTAGAAATCTAGATAAGGACTCCTAATTTTTTTTCTTTAAGTGCCTTGTAGTCCTCATAAACCCAGGTGGTTTTAGATGAAACTCCTTCTAAAGACAGGTCCTTATAGCCTGAGCATATGACTATTTCATTTTCCTCTCAGGAAGCTAGGAAGCAGGGGTTATTTCACTGGTGAGGCGGTTCAGTTTGCACCCCCAGCCAGTAAAGGGTGTTTCCAGGTTCAGACCTCTGACCCCAAAGCCCACTGTACTTGTCCCTGTGACCTGTTTTTATTCCACTGATATTTTAATTTTGGAGATTTTATTACTATTTCCATAGATATTTTTTATAACAAATGCTTAAATATTTTAATTTTTTCAGTGTTTTATGCTTTATAAATCTAAAGTTGGGGATTGTCTACTTGGTATAAATCTTATGTGGATAAATCTAGTTGGTGACACTCTACTGTTGGTAAGTCTAAGGACTAGTCGTATGGATACGCTGATAGCATCCCCATCAGGCAGTGGGCCTGGAAAGCCCGGAGCTTGTGCCATCCCCAGGCTTTGTTACGCTTAGCTGGTTACCTGAGTGTCCCATCAAGTCCTGCTGGCCAACATACTGTGGACTCTTGGGACCTGGTCTCCACTTGACAGCCTTCTGACTACAGCCGGTCTGCACTCTGGTGTTTTTGAAAAGGACAGCTCCCATAGCTCATCATGCTGAGCAGCAGTCAGCAGGACATGTCTGGGACCCCTCTGCTCCCTTAGCTCATTGTTGGTGACCTCTTCCATAGTCTTACCTCTCCTCCTGCCCCCAAAGAGAGGCTGCCCTTCTCTCTCAGGCACACGTTTGAATAAAGAAGAACCTGCCTCTCTCTCTTGTTTTATAAGGACTGCCAGAATGTTAAACACAATACAACAAACAAACCAAAACACACCTATCGAGGTGAGCAGGACTCATGGAAAAGAACCAGAGATGGGTATTGAAGAACCCAAGTTATTGGAAAAGTCCAGGGAGCACAAAACCCCATGAAAAGTCAAGACCACTGCTGTTCACACTAACCATGGCAGTGGACGTGGGGATATTCGTTACGTTCGTTCGTTTATTCATTCCATGTAACCAATAAACATAAGCTTGAAGTGGCACTTAATATCATAAAGTGGACTTCAAGACAGTATTACTAGAGATAAAGAATAATCATGCTAATAAAGGGGTCAATTAAAAAAGTCAAACCATGTATGTGCCTCATAGTTAAAAAATAAAGCAAAAATGGACAGAAGACACCCATAAGCTAGTTGGACATCTTAGCACCTTCTCTCGCAACTGATAGAACTAGACAAAAATTAAGTATAGACAGAAAATATGAACACTTAACCACCTTGATCTAATTGATGGAACACGTCACTAGTAGCTGCAGAGTACACTTTGCAAGTGCATATGGTACATTCACCAAGATAGACATGCTGGGCCATACAGTACACCTTAACACATTGAAAAGGACTGACATCACACACAATGTGTTCTCTGAACACAGCAATTAAAAATCAATAACAACTACAGTGTAAGCACCTCACAGTTTTTATGTTGTTTTGTAATATAAGTGACTGACTTAAACTTTTGACTGCTGAGACATCCACTTCCAAGACTATCTTTATTTATTTATTTATTTTTAAGCTGAGCCATCCTGCCTGTTGGCAGCGCAGCTCGAGCCAGGAATTGAACCGGCAACCCTGTTGCTCAGAGCTCGCGCACGCTCGAGTGAGCTCTGAACCAACTGAGCCACTCCCCGCCGGCCCTCCAAGACTATCTTGAACAAACATTGCCAGCCACAGGACTAGATAAAGAGCCAGTTCTGATGTGTTCCCCGCCCCTCACAAGTTGCCTTTGTTTTGGAGATCTCTGGTTAACTTAAATAACTGACCATTCAACTACTTGCTTTAATTCCTGCTCTTTTTAAAATTCACCGAAAAAGAATGATCCCTGAAAACCCTAGGCTTCCACTCTCAACCCCAATCAAAGCAGAACCCCAGGTTTTCTGTCTCCCTCCCTCCCTCTTTCTCCGCCCCCTCCAGCAGTGTACTCTCCAGGACCTGTAACACTTTTTTTTTTTTTTAACGAAGTTTCCTGATGCTTATTGCTGAGGGTGTCTTGCAATCATAATAAGAACCACAAGAAAAAAGAAGAACCACAAGGGCCAGTCCAGCCACAATGTTGGTTCTGAAATGTCGGCGCTGGAGGGCAGCTCCCGGCATGAGTGCCCCCAAGCATTTCTAGCTAACCGCATCACTACTTAGGCTGCAACCAGAACAAAACAAGTGGCGACCACAACAAAACAACTGGCGTAGCTGCAACTGGCTTACCCTGCAACTGACCAACCCTGGTGGGTAGCACCACCTGGGAAGCAAACACTGCTTGCTAGAAGTCTGTCGCGCTCTGCTTTTTTGTACTGCCACTGTTATGTGTTGCCTGTGGTATCCTTCCTCAAATGTCACTGCTGCCGTAATCAACAACCTTCCCAGAGCAGCATGGTCAAGACCATATGGTCTAACAAGATGATTAGACTACTAATGATAAAGGCCTTAATTGACATGTACAAGAGGCTCCTCCATGCCTCGAGGCCAAGGAGAGCTAAGACAAAGAAAAACTCTGATCTAAAGGCATGAGGAAAGGATACTCATATCGGTCAGGAGGACAGGAGACCTCCACCTGCAACCACCGAGTCATTGGGGCACACCTGGACCACGTGTCCTAACCCAGACAACTGAAATAGCCTTGCGACAGGAAACCAGCGTCACCACAAAAGGAAATGCAGAGGCCTGTGGTCTCTGTCACTGCTTCACTCGCCACTGTCACTTTTATTGTGGGTTCAATACCTAGCATGATACTGCTAAAAAATTAATGGACAAACATAAATGTCGTGAACATCTGGTGCCAGCGCCTCCTAAAAACCCCGAGGATACGCTCCAGGTCCTTGGCAGATGCAGAACCTCTCTGGAAGCCATGGCATACCAACGTGCCAAGGCCCAGCTGCAACGCTGCAGAGGCCCAGGGGTTTTCCCAAAGACCCTGTTGAGTATTGCACCAATGGAGGCAGACCCTCCCCCATCCCAGAGAGGTCAAGTGGGAAACCTTGAAAGGAAAGCGGCTGCCTATGAAAAGAGCTCACAGGGACATCCTCCATTGTTTTCCGGTAATCTTAAACCTTTAAGATTACGGTAACGTGAGAAAATCACAAAGCATAGAAACTGAGTTGAGAAACTATACCTTAACTGAAGTTCAAACCTTTTACAAGATTTTGTGCAGCAGGAAGGATGGTAGCTAGCTGGCTGACTATTGCAGATTTTTGGACCAGGTTCTGCATTGTTAACAACTGCCAAAATGTGCCAACTGACCAGTACCGCTAAAACCCCTAAAAATCCATAACCTTGAAGATCCATCCACGCTATTGCTCGTTTCCTCTGAGACGCCACCGATCCTGGGCCCCCTCGGCTTTCCTCTGAACACACAGAACCAGGCAACTCCCCTCACGAGGTATCCCTGCCACCAAGGGTGGCCTCTAGTGAGGGGGGAGAGCGAAGGCAAAGGCCCCTAGAGCCACCTGTATTACCAGGGCCCTCCCTCTCCTCACTGGATATTTGTCACTGGTGCCGTGCCCATCCCTCCATCACAGTGGTCACTGCTCAGGCTCATAGTGAATGCAAAACGTGAACGAGGCCCATCTGCCACACAAGATTGGCAAGTTCTAATGGTAAGTGTTCTGCACCCAATTCCATCATGGATAGGGGTGGGAGGTATCCTCACACCAACAAGCAATTCTTTGACACCTGCTGGGTGTCCAAAAATTCAACTCAATTCTGACACCATCTATTTGGCAATAACATCAGATTTCACATTTTTAGGGGTCAGTCCTACAAGACCACACCCTCCATTACAGAGGCCAGTTGCAAGCCCAGATTGTTACCTGTGCTTGATTGACGATATATCAAAGGTCCCTCCTTGGGTTCAATTAATTTGCTAGAGCGGCTCACAGAACTCAGGAAACCCGATTACTCACTAGATTACCAGTTTATTATAAAAGGAAGGATATAACTCCGGAATGGCCAGACAGAAGAGATGCATAAGACAAGGTGCGGGGAAGGGGCACGGAGCTTCCATGCCCTCTCCATGGGCACCTCTCCCCCCGAATCTCCACATGTTCACCAACCTGGAAGCTCCCTGAATCCTGTCCTTTTAGGATCTTATGGAGGCTTTATGACATGGACATGATTGATTAAATCATTGGCAGTTGGTGATCGAACTCACTCTCCAGCCCATCTAGGTTGGGGAAGGGACTTCAAGTTTCAACCCCCAATCACATGGTTTGGCTCCACTGGTAACCAGCCCCCCATCTTAGGTGAGTTCCAAAAGTCACCTCATTTACTTAACAGAAGACACCTTTATGGCTCATATCACTTAGGAAATTCCAAGGGCTTTAGGAGCTCGGTGCCAGAAATGGGGATGAATACCAAATTTAAGTAATTTCCATGACCAT